TTCTTCTCTCAAAGCTTTCTTATCTTCCTTCTTGTGCTAGTTCTCTTGTCTAGCTTCCGTCGAGAATCTAAGCATCAGGATGATTCATTTTGCCTACAGTAATGCAAGTTTCTTGTCACTTTCTCTATAGTTCTGAATCTATTAGTATCGTTAATTATTCCTAGTAGCTCAAGTATAGAAGAGTGTGCAACGAGAGGGGTGTTCGATACGTAGGTTGAATTCATTGATCGAATCGAATTATTTAAAATTCATTAGTTGATTTTTTCTTTAATCATAAATTGAATTCCTTTTTTTTAATCAAATCAAACAAAGTTCAACTAATTCAATCGGTTAACAAAATTAATCGAAATTTATAAATAATATATATTATATATTAAATGTTTAATATTTTTGTTTATTTTAAAGTATTCGATCGGTTAATTCAGTTGAAATCGAAGTTTAAACACTTCTAAAACTAAGTAATATATAAAATATATATTAAATATTTAACAATTTTGGTTAATTAATCGATTTTGAATCGAATTAACCGATAATCAAACTCTAAATCAACTGATTATACTTAAATTAACTGACTGGTTAATTAAAAAAATTTAATTCGACAAATTCAATTAAAATTAAGTATGAGCACAACTAACAATGAGATAATTTTTCAAAGTATTATGAAATGCGTGAGATTGAATTAAAATAAATTATTGATGATTTTGAATGATATAAAATTTAGATCAAGAAGGTAATTTTACAAAAACATTTATAAAATATGAAATTTTAATTAAAATAAATAATTGATAACCATAGCAAATTGATTTAGAAGGATGAGGCATCCTATCTTAAGTGAGGGTAGAGAATTGTATCTTGATATTTAAGAATACAACAAACTGAATTAAGAGGATTATCCACTATTTAAATATTTACAATATTCAATCTAAATTTCTAGATCTCATTAGAAATTCATTACAAATCGATTTATATTTAAATTTAAAAAATAGTTATCTTCTTATTCAAAATAAATTATTTAACCTCTATTATATTGTGTCAGCTTACTTTTTCCACGAATGATTGATCCCAATAAATTCCTCAACTGTTTTTTAACAAATTTAATAGTAAAATCTCCTCTTATGAAAATTAATTATAAAAATTTAAAAATATAATTTTTAAAAGGTAACTATACAGTTGGTCACTAATGTTTGGGATAGTGTTGTTTTCTCCACTGATGTTCAAAAGTTAGAAATCAGTCACTAACTTTATCGATTGGTTACAAATTGGTCACTCAACGCTAACAGTTGTTAATATGCGTGATGAAAAACACAGTTGGCGCTTAACTACTGACATGGATGGGTTGACTACGCCACGTTAGAAAAAGGGTAAATGCATAAATGGTCAATAATGTTTGAGTAAGTTTTTGTTTTCCCCACTGAAGTTTCAAAAGTAACAAATTGGTCATTAACGTTATCGATTTGTAACAAAACAGTCACTCGCCATAACGTGGGTGACCGAAACTTGCATGGTCTGTTAAGTGCTAACATGTCAACCTTTTTTCTCTTTTTTCATCACACTTTCTTTCCTTAAGCTCATATTATACTTTTTCTACTATAAATATCTCTTTAAAATCCTCTTCCTTAAACAGTCACTCGCCATTAACGGGTGACCGAAACTTGCATGGTCTGTTAAGTGCTAACATGTCAACCTTTTTTCTCTTTTTTCATCACACCTTTCTTTCCTTAAGCTCATATTATACTTTTCTACTATAAAATATCTCTTTAAAATCACCTTCCTTGGTCGATCAAACCCTTCATTGTAAAATAATTTTGGTTATTTTAAGGGGATAAAGTTATTGAAAACAAATGATATCATTGTAAACAAGCTGAGCAAGAGTTGTTTTACCCATGCCCCCATGCCAAAGATGGAGAGGACGCAAACTCCATGTTTCACCAGTCAACATCAATGGATGAAAGACCATAAACCGTAATCAAAAGCTCAGTTGACTCCGAAATGAATAGTAATCACGATTTTACTCATTAAAATATGACACCATGAATCATTCACCATCAAAACTACTCAAATTTGTTTGCATTCTTACGACAATGAATACCTTCATTTTCTTATTCTTTATTATGGTACACAATAGTCCTGGATTCGTGTTACCCACACAAATTGAACAAAATGACCAGACAATTTGACCTCAAGTTTGTATACTTGGAACAACATGATGGATGAGACTAGTAATTAAACCCTACTTTTTTTATTTTTCAAATAATATTGTCCCCTGTTTATTTGTATTTTTCTTTGACTTTAAGTTTCACCAATAGAGTTGACATTTATTGCTTGGGATGGGATCATGGGAGGTTTATTTTCATAATATTTGCAGTTAATCCCGCTATAGGTTGCACCAATCATAAATTTCAACTCTTCGAATTAATTTGTGTTGTTTATAAATCCTCAAACAACCCATTTGGTTTCTAATCCAACTATTTTTACTTATTAAACTTATGATCATCAGGAGGGGACCCTATTTATGTCGAGCAGCTTGTGAAGGTAACTTGAACGTCTTGGTGAATGTATTTATCTTTATTATCTCTTTCCATTACTTCTATGGTGGGGGGAGCTATGGAGTATGTTGTTAGAGACAGCGAGAAAGACAATTTTTTGCTCAAAACTAAACTCTAATGGAGTTTACGTTCTTTCTATCGCTAGCACGAGGGTATGGATAAAACAATTTTTGTTCAACTTGTTTACAATGATGTCAGGAAAAAGTCTTTTGATCACAAGGCTTAAAGTAACCAAAAACTATTTTCCAATGGAGGGTTTGATCAGCTAAAGAGAGTATTTTATAGAGAAGATTTTTATAGCAGAAAAAGTAAAACACGAGGTTAAAGAAACTGAGAAAATGATGAAGAAAGCGGACAAAAAGGTTCACATGTTAGCACTTAACGGGCCACATAAGTTTTTCGTCACCCACATTAACAGAGATTAACGACGAGTGATTGTTTTGTTACAAATCGATAACGTTAGTGACCAATTTGTTACTTTTGAAACTTCAGTGGTGAAACGAACATTACTCAAATATTAGTGACCATTGTGTAGTTTACCTTTTTTCTAACGTGGCTGTCAACCCATCCATGTCAGCAGTTAACGCGCCAATTGTGTTTTTCGTTACGCCTGTTAACATTGAGTGGCTAGTTTGTAATTAATCGAACGTTAGTGACCGATTTGTAACTTTTGAACCATCAGTGGGAAAATTAAAACATCCGAAACATTAGTGACAACTGTGTAATTTACCCTTTTTTAAAAAAAGAATAAAATATGATAAAAACATAATATTTTTTACAAGAAAATATATTTTTTTAACAATCGCATCTGAATTTATTAATATTAGAAAGAATCAAGATTACAACACATCAAAATATAGAGAAAAAATTAGAGACAATATTTACCAAAATACTCATACAAAAGAAAGAAAAATAAAAACTAATGATACAAAGAAGTGGAGAGCGAACGAAATAATTTGGCGACGAACACCAAAACCCAATAACCTTCATAAAAACTCATTGTTTCTACCGAATGAGACGCTTGAACAAAAGGATAAAGGAGTGGAGAGCGAACCAAATAATTTGACAGTCTGTTTCGCTACACAATCTAATTACATTGGCAAACAACATTTTACCAAAAGAGGGGATCTGACTATACGTGACCACCAACTAACTAATCATAATATAAATGCCGTGATAATTTTTGTACAAGAACCAAAACGACCACAGGGATATGCGAAAAATCGTGAGGATCGTGCAACAAGAGCAGAGAAAACGCGTGCCACAAGAGTAAAGAAAAATCGTTACAAGGACAGAAAACCTTATTCAAAATTAAAAAGACTCAAGCAAAAAAGATAAAAGACATAATATAAAAAATAGGAGAACTAATACTCATCGGCGGTCGACAACCAATAATAAGATTAATGTCGCTGCCGGCTAAACAAAATCAAAGAGAACGAAGAAGGTAAAAAAATATTAAAATAAAGCTAGGTTAAAAATGTATATAATGTTAATCTAAAAAAATTAAAAGCTTTTAAATATGTTAGGTATACTATATGAAATGATATAAATCCACTAACGGACAGGATGAGTTCATTTCAACATCATAACAAGACAAAGGAACAAGATAGGATACCATAAAAATGTTGTCGGAAAACCCGGGTTTAGATGCCGTTAAGGATGGATCGAGAGGTTGATTAAATTATTATATATTTTATATTATTATATATATATATATATTATTGAAAATCAATTTTTGTTGTTTGAAATTTTATAGGTTTAAATTTGTTCTCTTAAATTTAAATTTATCCCTAACATAAAATCTTATGTCCGTCTTATATGGTGCCATACTTATCACGAAACATCACCATTTTATAATTTAGAAACTAAAATTTATTTGCATTGAAGGAAATTTATTTATTTATTAATTTGTATTGGCTCAGCAGAATGAATTATTACGCGGTACTGTCTTAGAGTGACTTGTAGTATGAAATATTACAAACTATAATTCAGAATATAATACGACAAATATGTTTTTTGTGTGATTATGGAAACTAATTTATGTTTGTGTATGGCTTGTAATTTTAAAATTACTGTAAGTAAAGACGGTATGGTTTGTAGTTAAAATATAAATTAATTTTACACTTAGGTTTCATAAATTTATAAATATTTCATGTAAAGATTCAAACAATGTTTATTACTAATTTACTAAATGTTTTGAGAGGGATTCATTTGCTTGAGTTCAAAATAGAGAAAGATCTAAAAAGTATTTAAATAAAATTAATCATAAACTCAGTGTTCCATACTAAAATGATAACTTTTCAAACGTATAAGATTAAAATGTTATTTTTTAATAATAGAGGAACTAAAATTAACATTTAGATATAGTACAGGGACTCGCAAAAGAATTTAACAGTTATATGAAGCAATGATATAATGTAGTATGAAATACAAGGTCTACAGCAGCCACTTACCAATAATTGATCATTCTCCTAATCCTCTCTGTACTCAAGCTGGCAACACTGTCACCTTCTACATCTCTTCTCTTCTTCTTATCCCAATTCTCCCTTGATTCCTGCCCCTAAATTTCTCTTCGAAAAACTCCCCCAAACTTCATGCTCTAACGCAAAAAGCACTCCCACCAAAAATGGTTCCTTCAATTTTTTCGGCCATGTTTCTTCACTTCATTTTCTTCGTCACGGTTGTCAATGGCGAGCAGGATACTATTTACGGGATCCTAAAAGCCCATGGACTGCCCAAGGGACTTCTTCCCAAAGGAATAACCGTTTCGACTTTGACGATACGGGTCGGTTTGAGGTTCATTTGGATCAGCCCTGCAAGACCAAGTTCGAAAGCGAGATGCATTACGATAGGAACGTGTCGGGGACTCTGAGTTACGGGCAGATCGGGGAGCTGTCGGGTATCTCTGCTCAAGAGTTGTTTCTTTGGTTCCCGGTTAAAGGGATTCGGGTCGACGTTCCGAACTCGGGTCTTATTTATTTTGACGTCGGTGTTGTTTTCAAGCAGTTCCGGTTGTCGTTGTTCGAATCGCCGAGGGATTGCTTGGAGGTTCAGGATTCTGAATATGGTGATTCGATTTCTGAAGCAATCTCCAAGGTTCAATTCTACTTCCATTACTCTTAATTGATTAACACGCTCTGAAGTCTGAAGTATGCTAATTGAATAGCGTAATTCATTTTTTTTAATCAACCACTTGTAGAATCGATATGAACATGGTGAAGAAACTTTTGGGAGGAACGAAATGTAGAAAGGCGGGCAAAGGGAGTGGTGCAATATCTCAATCAGTCCAACAATCAAGTCAATGGTGTTTCGGGGCATGTTCATTGTTCCCCACAGGTTGTAAATTTGCGCGCTTCCATCATGTGTGCTCTGCTTGTGTTTTCTTTCTTAATCCTATATAGTGCAGTCATCGGCCATTGAGGAAGAATGGAAGATTTGGGAAGCTGTATTTAGATGATTGTCATGTTGGCTTGCCCTATGGAAAGATGAAATTGAGATCGGAATGGCGATTTCCGGTGATAAAATCAGACCAAATTTTTTTCATATGTTAGTTTGTTCATTGTGTTATTCATGTGGTTGTTAAATTGAGTCTCTTTTTGTTGGGAGTCGAGAAGCTTTGGAGTTTGGACTGATGAGACGGATAAGAAGACGTCGATCGATGTTCAATAATAAAACCGTCTTGGTTCATTTCATTACCTTTGTGTGCTTGAATATTGTGTTTCAGTTGCTTTATTGATTTTCCTGTTCATTGTATGCCAATGAGTTCTATGAGTGAAATGGATGGAAAAAAAGAACTCTGAGGGACTTGTGCTTCCATTTTTATGGTCAGATTTAAACCTCGATAGGATCGAGTTTCATTATCAGAGTTTGAACCAGGGTCTGTGACTGTGTTCATCATGGGAGTATATCCCTCCCAAGGATTTTTCAAATTAACACTCGCGTTTCCATGAAAACTTCGAGTTTATGGTTTATTACTTCAGCTTTGGGAACAATTGTTTGCCAAAACTGGTGAACTTTTGAGCACTACCAGGCGGTGAAGCCATTGCCATAATGCTTATTTATAGGCATGAGATACTTTGAAATAGCATGTAGTATCTAAGTCATTGGCTGTTAACACTGCATACACTTCATCATCCTCAATGAACCATTTCCTCCCTGAATGTAAAAGAATGAAGATTTCCGAAGATATGCTGTAAGCTAGCACTTTTTTGCCTTGAGCAGCTTGTGAAATGTTGACAAGAAATTGGATGTGCATATTCTTTAAGCACTCAAGGTTTGTGAATATTTGAATTGGCCAACACTGTTTATAAATCATAGTGAAAAATTGGTCTGATCTGTCTTGATTTACTGTATGCAAAATTTGGTGTTTGCTGTTAGGCCTCTTGTGCTCCGGTGAGCCTTATCAGTAGGCCAATGGAGCATCATTTTATTGGTTTGGTTAGTAGAATTTCGTCCCCCACTGCCCCACTTGTGTCAATATTAGATGTAGATTCTTCCTTTGCTGACTGAGCCACTTTGAAATGGACACCAAAAAGCTTGCCTTTTTTCATTTTCTGATGACCGGGACATGCTTAGGTTTTATGTACAATGCCAAGCCTTTATTTTAGATTTAGATTCATATTTAATTCACTATGAGCACCACAACTACGTGACTTTTTTGGAGGAGGAAAGGGTTGTTTAGGATTAGGGATTACATTCGATATTTAATGTCAACTAAAACATCATATGATTTTACTTAATTCATCTAATTATTAAAATAATTTTCAGGGTTTTAACGAACTGTTAATACCGAGTATATACATCATATGCCTTTTTTAAAATAAAATAAAATAAAATCGAATATATATATATCTCGGCCGAAAAACAGACGACCGCTTCGGTATATAATTCAATCCATTGAAAAGTCTACGTAATGTAACAACCATAAATCCAATCTGACACCACTAATCACTTAGCCACCAAGATATTTAGGCACCTTTCTTTACATTCAGATAATTAATCGTTTACGATGCATATTATTTTTTATATTTTACAATTTATATGTTATTTATAAAATAATAATATAAGTTATTTATAGGTCGTATCTTATGTTACATTTTTGTTGTAAAATATATGCTATTTTCATGGTCAATGTTCTGGTATGAATCGAAAGTGAGGATGGAGATAATTATTCCACTGAAAATTTTAAATTCTCTTGTATTTTAGATTTTTTCTTATATTTTCTATTAATATATATATTTTTATCCCCTAAAATTTTATAAATTTACTCTCCTCAACACATAAAATTATACGTTCGTTCTTGTTTGAGACTTCTTTAACGATGATGTAAAACATTATTCGTTTCGGATTCTTCACCTCCCTCTAGACACAGGAAATTTACCCTACGGACTCGACAACTAATCCATATCATAGCCATGGCCTCTGATTACACCATAAATAAGGAGTCGTGAATCTACTTGAACTCGTTCAGAGCAATAATGTGCAACAGTTGGTAAGATTTTAGCCACTAGCTTTACATCCTCCACGATTCTTGGGTAGAATTGGCATAGGCAGGGATGGATCGAGGGGTGCTGGGATGTGGTCACACCCCTTGGAAATTTTAAATCCCCATATAATTTAGGTATTTTGTATTGATGATCTAATTTCACACCCCTAAATTTTTAATATAACTTCCTAAGTTCGCATCCCTAACATAAAATCATGTGTATGTCCATGGGCATAGGTTAATACCTATTAATATGTCACAAACCACCACCATGTAACATTCAACAGTAACAGGTATACATGAACGGTGTGGAATTGTATCCAAATCCTCATGTCATTTGCAAGAATTAACATCTTTTGTCTCAGAATTGTTCCATTTTCAACAACCCTATAAGTTGTAACATTCACATTCTCGAAAGCAAGTTATTGTTCAATGATCATAAACCCTAACGCTTAACCCTAATTACAACTACAAGATCCACCTGCTTAGGCCAGCTATTCCATAATAAATCGATGCTCAGCTAAAAATAGAACGAATGACATCAAATACGCAATTCGATGAGCATTAAGTACCACTTCGGTGGTAAGTTTTTTCTTAGTCAATTGACAACATACACTCATTGTACTCTACAGAGGCAATTTCTCAAACCAGAATCTTCCAAGGAGAACAACAATCCCTTTTACTAAGGACATCATTCAATAGGTTCACTATTGGTAAGCTACCTAGTTTAAAACGAGCAACTTTTATGTTCAAATTTGCAAAGCCATCAAATGATTCTAAATCCCAATCCCATAAAACCAAATATATATTTTCTCATGCTAACAATCCTAAGAGCAGTTATAATGCATTCCTCCATAAGAATTCATCAAAACAACACAAAAACAGGGTACCAAAATTTGTAAATGTATCTGCAGAATATCAAAATTATACCATGACATAATCTAAGAACAAACGCATTTAATAATAAAAAGGTAGGAATCTAACGATGCAACTTGAATAAACCTCTCTTATTCACTTTCCCTGCAGCTTGAGCAATCAATAAATTCGGCTACTACTACTGAGAATTGACCCCAGAGTCCCCAACACGGCAAAGGCAAGAAGTGGACTAACATCCAAGGTATCGAAAATGGGGGGAATTATATTCCTAAACAGATTCAAATAAGGATCACAAAGATCCCTAATAGCCGAGAGGGGCTGCCGGTCCCAAGGAATGTTCGGAAACCAACTGAGCAAAACCCGGACCATCAAAACCCCACTGTAAATATCAAGCCACTTAGCTAAACCCGCCGCCACCACCGTTAACGGCGTGTTGAGGTATCCGTTAGGGCGGTCCTTTAAGGAAGCGAAGAACAGCGGGCCCATGGAGGAAAGTGCGTTAGGGTTATGGTTGATCGTTTTGATGGCGACATTTTGGATCATTTTGCTCAAGAGAATGGTGGCGGAGAGGGCCAAGGTGAAAAGGGTCTTAAGGGTTCGAGTTGAATCGCTGAGTGGGTACCGGGTTAGGATTTGGGGGCGTTTGCAGGGTATTGTCGTGGAAGGAGAAACGAAAGCTAGAGGTATAAATAGGGTGGTCTTGGTGTTGGGGTTTGGGGGTTTGATGGGGAGAGGAAAGGCAGGCAAGCTGGTTTGGAGGTGAAGATTGGGGAATTGAAGTTTCGTGGGGGAAGGAGTGTTGAAGGTCGAAGAAGGACGGATTGGCTGAGAAACATTTTCCTTTCCCTTTTCTCGAGAAACAAACGGAAGGATAGAGAAGGATTTAGAAGGAAAGTGGATTGTAACTGGACAAAGGATTGGCTAATTCTTATCTATTTATTCCGAATCGACTCTCGAGTTAGAAAGCCTTTTCCGCCGACTCCGACCCGTGCCCGTTAACCATTTTTGCTAAGGATGTAGAATTAACAAGATTAGGTTAATTTCCCTTTTCTTTTTCAACTTTCTTCAAGGATTTTAATTGGCCAATAAGTTCGTTACGAATATTTGTTATGACTAAAATTTATATAAAATTTTAATATATTTATTAAGATTAAAATTATATAGTATGATATTTAATTTTTAAGTCTAAATATAGAGTTTAGAAAAATATTATATATGATAAAAACAAATAGAGGAATTATAGTTGACATAGAGATATTTAAAAAAACCATTTTTCTTTTATTGGTGCCTCTTGTCTCTTTTTTTCGTCTTTATTGATCGAGGGTCGCACCAACTTTAATGTTAGTTGTCGATCGTGATTTTTTATTATCTTTTTCTTTTCTATATCACATTTCTATTTGTTTGTATTTTCAATAAGCATTCATGACACGTTTTTATATGCTTTTATGGCATATTTTATTATGTTTTTTGACATTTTTTTGTTATTTGGTCGTTTTTCATTTATTTTTTTTCTTCTAAGGGTTGATTTGACATCGTCACAACTGATCAAGATGATACTTATCTGATATTTGATTGATCTTCCCAGCTTTGGACCATCGGATTAGATTTGGTTACTCGATTTTCGTTCGTGGATAGCTTTTTACGTCGCTCGAGTCTGATTTACGGTTTGTCGATAGTCTTTTAATAGCTTGATCCCCCTTTGTAGTTCGTTTGCCGATACAGTCAGATTTGTTTGTATCTATCTTTGTTCGAGTTTCTTGGTTAGATTTTTAATCTTTCCTTAAATGGTTTTTATGTGATTTTATGTTGCTAGTTTTGTTTCAATGAATATAATAAATTTTTCTAATTATGTGTTTAATTTACGATTATAATTATATATCTTTTTTGTAATTTGGGATATTTCCTATTGTGAATAAAGTTATTTGCTTATATAAAAAATATTATTTATGATTCATATAAAAAAATAATACAGATTTATTAGGGATGACAAACGGGTGGGGCGGGTGCGGATACCCCTTCCCACCTAATATTTTCATATCCACCACCTACCCACGATAGGTAAAATTTTTAAATTCACACCCGCTCACGCGGATACATTCTCAATCCACCCCTACCCCTTTACCCAATTGGATACCCACCACCCATCTCATATTCGTTTATACCCGTCCCAGTTCATACCATTAATTTGAGATAGGCGAAACAACGGTCTTCAATTCTAAAAATGTTTATACCCTAACATTATTAAAAGTTATGTCCTATAAAATCTTAAGAGTTAGAGAATAGTCTCTAAAATTATATATATATTCATAATGATCTAAAAATTATATGGTGAGCAGTTAGTGGTTGAGCGGATGCGGGGCGGGTAAGATCTAAAATCACCTACCCACTACCCACGGCGGGTATGAATTTTACATCTACATCTGCTCATTACCTACTAAACTTACTCATCCCTATCCCACTTAGAACGGATACGATACGAAACCTACGAAATTAAACTCGTCTGTCATCCTTTTTTATTTTACAACATGTTAACAATCTAATTTTATTTACAAATAACTATGTTAAATCAACTTAAAAGATAAACCGCAATTAAAAAAAAAACTAAAAGCATAACAAAAAAGGTCAAAGAAGAGAAATCGGTTTATTGTGAGGTTTTTCTTCAACGATTTTAATAGTTACCTCTAATTTAAAAACAAAATACATTTATTAGTTAGAAAAATTATACTATTTTTTTAAAATCCTATCAATTATGGGTTGTACAATATTAATATTGATTGATAACATAAAATTCTTGAATTCTTTAATTTATTTACATGTGATATTATAATCTCTTTTACATTAAGAATGATATCAGAATGTTTGTATTTTTTTTTTAGGATTACTTTTTCATGAAAATCACTTAAATCTTTTAAATTTATTTAAAGGTTTGACGCACTAATGATATGATCTCCTGTGATGGCCGTCTAATGAGACTAATTTTGAGGTATACTTTCCTTCTTGAAATAATGCTTCTCACTATTTAAATTTCCGAACAAACACTCAAAGCCCCTCAAATCTAAGAAAATTTCATACCCCTAAATGATGGCTTTTGTTTAATTTCGTCAATTTTAAATGAATTTCTTGAAAATCAATTCTATGAGAAAAGAGAGTGAAACTCAAATATTTGACACTAATATAATCATGAAAGATAAACTAATATAATCATGAAAGATAAATGACGAGGGATGAGGATTGACCACTAGAGTGGTCGGAAAAGTACAATGTAAAAGAGTGACTATTTAAAAGTTTAATAACAAAATTGATGCATCTCGAAAGTGTACTAAGACGAAGTCATTTTAGGTATCAATAGTAACACTAAAACAATATTATTTTTTGTTTTTGTCATCAGACAGTTTAGATTTTAACGTTCAAGTAGCATAATTAAAGTCAAAACTAAAGTATAGTTTGAGAAATTGAAAGTTTAATAGTATAGACAATACATAACCTAAAATTTGAATATTTAGTATTATACCATTTTGATTTTATGACAAAAGCAATATTTTTTATTATTTGTGATAATTCACGTGATAACAACGATAACGATAACGATGACGACGATATATTAACAACTTTGTTAGAGTTATTTTGATAAAGTATATCTTATATATTATGATCATGATAGATTAAGTATATTTTATTTATGCTGAAATTTATTAATCTCACGTTATGTTTAAGTATATAATAAATTTAATCTAACTCAACGTAGATGTTCTTGATTACTTAAAATATATAAAAGAATTTGATTATCAATTCAAACAAAAAGTATGTGAGACATTGAATTTGTTTAAATTAAGAATTCATTTGATACATAAAAATATATGTTATATTAAATTCATTTTATTCCCCCAAAATAAATCCGAATGAAGTAATACATACAATCTCCATGCAATTTAAGTATATGACTATCTAAAACCTACCTCGGACCCATCAAAGTCACCCCAAAAACCCAAAGAAACGACAAACTAAACATGATCAAAACATGTTTATTAAACCATGATAAGCGTTCAAACAATGAAAAGATAAAGAAGAGAGTGTTATGATCAGATCATCAATCACACATCTCCCACAGTGCCATCACTACGGTTGTTGTTGATGGTGGTGGTGGCGGTGTATTGCTTTGAAGCAGGGTACTTGATAGCATTGAGTTCAACTTTACGAAGAGCAGCTTTCCCCAGATCAACGCCGCAGATATCAGATAGCCTGACGGAATAAAGCAGAACATCAGAAAGCTCCTCACCCAGGTGAACTTTTCTTCTTCTTTCCAATCGGCCAACCCTTTCGGGACCTCACCTTTCCACTGAAATATCTCAGACAGCTCCCCCACTTCACCAACCTATACATGTATAATCACCGCCGTGAGGGATAGACGAATGATTTCACGTCAAGGAATGTAATAAGATTATAAAAAAAAAAAATATAAAATAAATATCTAAAATATGAAAATTTATGTTTGAAGCAAACATATATTATATATACCAGGGCCAAGAGGATTCCTAGGGCTGTGGAACTGATCCCAGTCTCTTTCCTTGGCGAAATCAGCTATCTTCTGCTTGAGAAGATCGAGGCTCACGCTTCGATGATCACCTTCAGTCATGTTTCTGTTTCTTGGAGATCAAGGGATGGGATCCTGTGTTAGGCTGTCTTTTGTGCTAATGATTGGTAAATCGTGTATATATATATATATATAGGGTAATGAATCAACAGCTGGGGGACCTGTGTAATTGGATTTACTTTACTGGATAAATAGAAATTAACATACGCTAAAGTTACATTCCATTTATAAAATCCAACTAATAAAATTCTTTCCACAATTTATAGTTTCCTTTCCTCGTGGATGAACGTATAATCCAACTAATAAAATTTCTTTAATGGATAAATATAAATTAACATACCATAAAATTTCTTTTCCTTATAGGAGAAATGGAATAATGAAGAAATGAAAAAAAATATTTGTATTACTCAAAAAATTTCATAGAATATTTTTTTAATGATATGTGATGATTATAAGACAGTGTGTGTTCAGAATTTGTGTACAATATTACAATAACAACTGTATTAAGTAGATTAATACTAAATCGTCCTTCTTTTAAGCCATCCAATCTATATTTGGACGTTTGAACATGTGGTGGTGGCTGGTGGTGAAGCAAAGCTCGTGGGTCAAACACAACTCTTTGTGTAAAAGACATAAGAATTAGGTGAAAAGGCTGTTCATGGAGGGAAAATAAGAAATTATGTTCACAAGTTCAACTGCGGTCAAAGCCGATTGAGTTTGCTTTATACACACCTCGTTTTTGCGTTGTGTAGGGATTTAGTCACGGACTTGATATGAAAAAAATGATATAAATTTACTAATTGAAGAAAATTCGAATTTTATGATGGACATGTATCCACCTTAATCAAGTTGTGGTTCTGCCATTGGTTGCTATCGACTGCTCGAACTTGACTTCTAAGAACAACAACGATTCCTTTAGTCCTTGAGGTAGGTTGATTGACCTGTGTTCGTAATTCAAAAACCTATCTTGGTTGCCTCAACTGTATGCCTTCTTGTTTCCCAATAACGGGAATCAAGGTTTAAAAGTTTATTTGGATGAGTTGTGAGATTACTTCACTGAAATTAAAAATAGACGATGAGATTACATTGAAGGGCTTCATTTAAGAGGTTTATCATTATGAAATCGCGTTCAAATTACAATTGGACCCCAAGTCAAGTTGTATAAAAAAAAGCTTTACAAACTTTATGTTATAGGCAATCATTTTATTCAAAATAATTGTTTTCGATTGAAGGATATAATGAGAGGAAACTTGCCTAACTAGCCAAAGAGTTAACTCGTTCAAAAGAAGCATCTTATCCAACAACATACGAAAGGAAGAAGGATCTATTGTGTACTTATATGTAAACTTTATGAAAGACAAGACCTTAATTTGACTAATATTTAAATTAAGACCCAAATAGCTCTAAAAGAAATTAGAAGACCATAATTTCTCACGCGTAACAAATGACTCGGTCCTTGAATATATGTGTCATGCATATAATTAAATACCGGTACCCTGTTTGTTTTCTTTCATTTTGGTTATTATTTGTTATGATTTGTTTCTTTGGATTTTTATTTAATGCATTTGATCATGTTTCTGTTTTTAATTTGTATAATGTCATAATTTGAGCATTAACTTTAAAATCTTTTATTCTAGTCATGTATTAAATATAGATTAAATCCTAGATGTTAGAACTAATCAATTGATCACCAAGATTAACTTTAATTCTTAATTTTTAATTAGGTACTAATTTCAATTTAATTTAATAAATTTATTTCTTATTCAGGTTTAGGCAGAAAAAAAAAAAAAATAACTTAATTGCATTTGAACTCAAGACCAGTTAGTGACCAAGCAAAACCTTAACCAATAGACAACGATGGACTTAAATATATGCTAATTGAGAATATGATAACACTTAAATTGTTAAAAAATCTAATATCTTATTTATAATTATTTTTAGATTTTAATATTTTTAGATTGCTAAAAAATCTAATATCTATTGATTGGAGTTTCCAGGACTCCATGAAATGTGCAGAGGACTGCTTCAAATTTCTCTGCAGATGGATATTGGATCACAGTTCACAACACATGAAGTTTGTTTCAAAAGGAAAATACAAGACTGGTTCACATTCTTGAATATATGATGTCAAATTCTTATGAAAAGATTTCCTATAGAGAGGCAGTGGAAATTTTGAGGAAGACCTTGACAACATATATCCTATCTATGTTACTCTCACTCTTCATCTTTCTTGAAGAATCCGTGTTAGAAGACCGTAGCCTATACTTAATCATGAGTTTTGGAGTACGGTCCTCCAAATACTCAAGTCCAAGTAACATAGCTTCCGAACCAGCATATCAGACTTACGTTTGCAACTTAATCTGACAGATTTTTCATTCTTCAACACCAGGTAACAGATAGGGCTTTTGAAACAAAACTTCGATGGGGCGTCCCTTTAACAGCTGAACATCTAAGGTACGTATAATGTGGCTAACCAAAAACTGTCAAATGCAAATATCCTAAAGAATATGAGATTTTTCTTATAAGACTTTTACCATTCATTAACTCTATGGCAACTACTTGGCTGATGATCACTTGATGATGGAAAAACAGTGGCGGCTTTTGATCTTGTTTGTACCAAGGTAAGTCTAAAACTTGAAATAAATATATTGAACAAAGGTGGCTGCTTTAGATGCTTACAAATGGATAATGGTATGTAGATTGGAAGAGTGATCACAGGCAGCCAAAGTGAAGAGCGCCTTGACATGCTAACTACAAGGTAATGACCTTTCTTATTCAACAGTAATTCCATTGCACCAATAAGTAGTGATCCTACTTCAAATGATTGCCAATGAAATATAATGGATTCAAATGAAATGGTTGATAGTGCAAAACTAACCTGTTTACATATTAGTGCTTCCAATAGAGAATTTTTCCGGATTCAAATCCCAGCTTTCTAAATGCCACCTGTTAAAGATAACTGCAAGAACCAACTGATATGAACTTGAATTTATCCCAGTTATTCTAATAATGATTTTGAATCCATTAAATTTGGATGTATTCTTGTGGAATGAACAATTCTCAATATATCCTTGTTGATTTGAACAAAAAAATTAATTTTCCCCTTGTCTGCTATGGTTTTCTGATTTCAGAATCAAGGAATTTGACTTGTCAAGAGATCAATATGAATGGTACCAAGATCTTTGCAGGCATGGAACTTAAGCCTCTGGATTCAGCCTAGGGTTCGACCTTATGGTTCTTCTGACCACTGGCCTCACCGATGTTAGAGATGCGATTCCTTTTTCACGAAGTCATGGCAAAGCCAACAACTAAGAAAGAGCCTCCATAAAGTTTTTAAAAATAGAGAGACCGGGTTTCAACTTGATTGTGTTTTCAGATACAGAGAAACTTGTATAAAAACATATCTAAATGCAATACACGTTTAATCTTATAGCTAAAAATGATTTAAACAAACTGCTCATGGATTACCTGTTTAAAATTACAATGCTTCTCTACAGTAGGCTAGCAGCTGAACCTGATAAATCAGCGACAAGTTCTGATAAATGTACATCTATAGAACGAAAAAGAAAAGGCCCGTCACCCAGAAATGACATCTTAAATTTCATCTTACCAACATCAACAAATATTACGCCGGTGAAGAAACACAATCTGATGACTATATCAGAGGGGAACTTGGCTTGCTCCTTGAATATCATTAATAATATGTAAAACAATTATGAATACCTGAGGTTCCTTCAGAGTTTCCTCAATACAGATGCTGCACCCACAACAGCCAAGATGATGCCGAACCATCCCCGAGAGAGGCACCTACAGCAGCAGATGTCAATTCCTTGGCTTGAGAATCTTTCTTGTCTACTGCCAAAGCATGCTCTCGTGCCAACTCCAATGAAAGCCTATCTCTAGCAAGCTCCTTTGAATTTGATAGGAAACAAGAAGATCGGAAATTATTTATGAGCATATAAATTTGATAATCAAAACAACAAGAAACTAAACTACATTATAACATTGTGCGAGTATCACAAATAACCAAGTGATTCATTTATAAATGTCTATCAGTAATAAATGGGTCATATCCTAAGATATTATCCTATGTTGATGCTATATTTTTATTATTAATATATCCATGAGAACTCTTTATCAAAATATTTTATTTATCTCTAATCTTACTTTTAAATTAAATACCTGTAATTTTAAATTTATTTTTATAAAATTTAATTAAAATAATAAAATAAAATTCGTTGATTTAACTAATTTAAGAAAATATTAATTGGTTCAATCGAATGCACGCGCTACTAACAAAAATGTTATATCAAATTAAGTCGGCAAATAAAGTAGACAAATTATAATTACTAAGAAAACTACCTCAAATATCATAAACCTTTAGGCGTTGACTCATTTATACACAAGTGTTTTAATTTTACTAATTTTAGTACTAATATTTATTTTTAAGTGTAATAATATCACTCCGTCGTCAATGATTTGACGGAACGATGGTAGATCCATTTCGTGATATTGCAGACATGGATGTCTCACCAAAATGAGGTCGTTCATGTCTCACCAAAATGAGGTCGTTTTGGCGCGACTGTTTTGATGTCTAAAAAAGCTAAAACGTCATTTTACTTGAAGAGGTTTTGTTAAAATTGAGTTTAGTGGGATTTGAACTTTAGATCTTTGGAGACAAAAGATGAGACTTAAACTACTCAACTGACTTAAGATTTTAGTTACATTCTTACAAATATAATATACAAATATATTCTTAAAAATATTATTTTTTTTAAAAAAACACATAAAATTTTTAAAAATTCCAAATCCCCAAACCCTAAATATTAAATCCCTAATTTCTCTCATTATCGCCGTCGAATCAACGACAATTGCCCACCACTTTCATTGGTAAACTCTCACCACTAATGAACCCACTCTCTCGTTGTCGGAAATCAAAGAACAATGTTCTAATCGATCGTCAAAATATTGAATATAAAATATTCTGATCGAACCATGAACGACGACCAATTGACGGGCGAATGGTGAATAACGTACACGGCGAGATGAGGAGACTTCGGTGTGGTGGCATTGGCGTGTTATCGTTGGTGAATTAGGGATTATGATTTAGGATTTTTAATTTTTTTGGGGGGGCAATTTTAGAAATTTTGGTTTTTTTTAAGAATTTAAGGTTTTTTTATCATGTCAACAAAATGATATTGTTTTAAGCATTCACATCAACAATGTCACCGTGCGAAGCTGCCATGTTATCGTACCGTTAAATTAGTAACGGCAGAGTGGTATAATTGCACTTAAAAATAAACGTTAGTATTGAAATTGATAAAATTAAAACGTTTGTGATATAAATGATCCGGTGGTTAAAGGTTTGTGTTATTTAGATTAATTTACCCTAATTACTATCGTATAAATATTCATTATCTTGACATCATGATAACATAAGATTATTGTATTTTATATTATTTCATTTTCATTCTAGATTCACAGCCAACATCCTCGATTTAATAAGGTTAGGTCAAATAATTGTGGAGCAAAAATTTAAACATTTAAGAAAGTTGATCCAATCCAAGTTTGGACACTTGATCCCTCTGTCGGCAACTTCAAGAAATTTCCCCACACCCCAAAGTAAAGGTTGATAAAACTGTATCAGCAGATTGACACGTAAAAGAAACAACTTAAGCAAACACTAAAGTAGGTACATCTCGTCTTAATAATTTCACTGACAACTATCTCGTTTTGGACGTCGTTTTCACCATAATTTTTTTTCTTGTTGCCTTCAATTCGACTCTGTGATGTTTACACATATGATGAAATAGATGGTACACATTCATGTATTGATATTATTTCTATATCGTTTTATGTTTTATTTATGGATTAAATATACAAAAGGTACTTAATCTATGATTTTTTCAGTTTAGTATCTAACATTTATTTTGTTTTAGTTTGGTGTTTAGCGTTATTTTGTTACTCAGAATAGGTCATGAAATACCGTAATTTCGGCCGTTAAGTGACACGTGTCACAATTTTATTTAAATTAAAAAATTACATATATATATATATATATTAAAGAAAACATAAATTTTGAAATAAATCTAAAACTTTGAAAACCTTCATTTCAACCCTAAACCCACATCGATCATTGCCTTTTGCCATCAACGAAGCTCCACCCGACCTCCTCTCCCTCGGTGACCAAAACCCCCCATGAATCATGATGATCGATGGTCAATCAGTCGTCGGAATCGCATGGATCGCGATTTTCATTAGGGTTCGCATGGTATAAAATGTTGATTCGTCATCGATCGGTCACGATTTTATAGGGTTTTGGTCCCGAGGGACGGAGGTCGGGTGGAGCTTCGTCGATGGTAAAAGGCGGTAGTTAGGTTTAGGGGTTGAAATAAAGGTTTTTAAAGTTTTGTGTTTATTTCAAGATTTGTGTTTCTTTAATATATATACTTTTATTTTTTAATTTAAATAAATTTTAAACCACTAATTTGTGAAACGTGTCACTTAACGGTCTGTCACAGTTTGACCCACTTTGAGTAACAGAATGAAAGTTAGACACCAAACTAGAATGAAACAAACGTTAGGTATTAAACTGGAAAAACGAATATAGGTTGGACACCTTTTGTATATTTAAGCCTTTATTTATTTTTTGGTAAAAAAAATTAAAGCCTATTTAGTTTTTGATTAGGATAAATTGGATATTTTTAAAGTAAACGTAATAATTTGATTTATTTCAATTTTAAAATCTCAAATACAAGATTTTAGGCTTTTGTTTTCTTTCTTGCGTTTGATCAATTTTTTCTTTTCGAGTATTTATAGATGTAACGATCTTCCTCACGGTTGTATTTTAGGGTGAAAGAGATGAGGTTTGACAGGACATTTAAGATTAAATTGGTAAAATATTAAAATTATGGTTGATTATAACATGGACAAGAAACTACAATATTGACCTAAAACTCCGCAATATATACAATACGTAGAAGATATACATATACCAGTATCCAAGTGACAATAAAACATATTGAATCAAACCATTATGCACGAGATGAAAGATAAAACCAGAAAACTCAAACTCCAGAGATACAAGATGAGGATGAACAAGCTACTACGAATTGTGATCACATGGCCGCAAGAGGCTGCTGTCTGCCTTGGCCATTATGTATCCATCGTAAGCTTTCTTGGATTTCCCAGATCTTCTCTTCAAAACCACAACCCAGGTGACGGCTCCAACAACAATGAAATGGCGCCCACGCGATGATCACGATCATATAAGCCGATTCCATTTGTGGTCGGGCCTCAGATATTGAAGCCCTTAAACACCTTGAGGATGCCGAGCACGAGTATGGCGTATCCGAAACCATGGTGGTAAATGTTCCAGTAGAATCGGTACTTGTGCTCCTTCTTCGGTCTTAAAAACAACGCAAATATCTGCAAAGAAAAACCCCAATAAATTCCAAATTATTATTGTAAAAGATTGAAATTTGATCGGATTCAAGAAATACCTGGACGTAGCAAGAACGAAAAGAGCGATGCCGATATTTCTATGACCGGAATACGTAATCCCAGAGGATTGGCTGCCGAGCTTAAGACCAGTCGCCCATCCAGCTACTCCGATGGCGTAACCCGATATTTGACAGAATATATGTAGATAAAACCAAGCTGGATCTGCATATTCAAACGCTCTTATATACCGAGCAATCATTGCTCCAAGTGGAAACAAATTCCCCAGCTCACAGCATTTAGTATCCCTGAATCTGAAATCACATGTTTTTTTTCCTTTTGGTGAAAAATGATTCTCCGGAATATAGTAATGTATTAAAAAGTGAATGAAAAGCTTACGTTTTGTTTTAATGGTGGTGGTGTCTCCTCCAGAGCCACTGCTAGCGTGTCCCGTTTTTCAAGTCGAGGGTACCTTTGGAATGCAAATTAGCGGCGGCGAATTCATGTTTTGCCAACATGCCATCGGCTCCGACTCCGGACCGATTTACCATACTTGATTAATCTTCCCGCCCGATGCTAAATCCGCTGGGATTTTGATTTTTGCAAAAATTACCAAGCTCCCGTCGCCTCTGCTCTCCGACTCTTGTCCAAACCTCGAATGACAAGTCTTTTCGTACGATCGAAGAATAAGAGCTGATGTCGAAGGTTCGGACGACGGCGAGGCCGGTGGAGGAATTTTTGTAGGCGACGAGAGTTTGGGAACCGGCCATGCCGGTGGCTTCGGATTTATGGCCCATGCAACCCAGCCGCCGGTCTGGAAGGGGGGCAGAGACGAAAGCAACGGAGAGAGTGGTGTTGGAAGTCGTAGGAGAAGTGGAGGTAAAGAGGAAGAGAAGGGAGGTCGAGGCAGATGGAGAAACTTCGTTTTTGGGTGAACTTTTGGCCGGAGCAAGTGAGGGATTCCGCCGGCGAAATCAGCAGTGCCCAGAAGGTGAAACAAGAAAGCCGCCGCCGCCGCCGGAGCCATTTCGAAACAGAGCAATCAATGAACTGACACTAACAAGAAATATGAACTGCAACTAGTCTAGAAGTAATCTTTATAGAGTTTTGGGAGATGATTAACGAGCTATGATTTTTCAACCAAAAGGAGTTTTACAGATAGTAGGTACGATCGTAGGAGTTTACAGTTCTTTCCTAACAAAACATGCTATAAAGACCCAAACATGATAACCTAAAATTGACGCGAAACTTTAAATGAATCGAATCGAAATCGACACCAATTATAGTTTAATAGAAACCAATCCGAAATGAAATTAACTTGAATCGAAATTAATCTGAACCGAAAATAATCTGAATCAAAAGCAACTCTAATTTAATTTATTCATACTCGACCCGAATTGAATTTTGACCAGATTTTAACCCGATAATTGAGTCTTAATAAACCAAATATTATTATTATTATTATCTATTTTTATTAATTAGATAAAGAGTAGAATGATATATATTTTATTCTCATTTTATATTATACGATTAGGTAATCACCACCTTTAGATATTTTTTAATTTAGGGTTGAGAATTGAGTACACGTAATGTGTTTTTACTTTTTAGTAAAATAATATAAATAATTAAATTGAATTAATAAATTTATATATTATGTATTTTTTTACACCAACAGCCGCATAACAGCACCGGGTAACAATTTTCATTCGATATAATAACATAATTTCTTATGTTGGAGTTTCATTTCCCATTTGAATATTTTAATATATTCTATTTGCATTTTCGCACTTGTTTGATTAATTGATTGATAGGAAGAAATGGCGGTTCCTTTGCTGTCGAAGAGGATTGTGAAGAAGCGCGTTAAGAAGTTCAAGAGGTCTCAAAGTGACCTCAAGATCTCCGTCAAGGTTATAACAAAACCAACATGTGCTCTTTCTTATCTTATAAGTTTTGCCTTCTTATTTTTCAGCTGTAATTTGGTTTTGCTGGGTTCATTTAACTGTGATTTAAAACCATAGTAGGTTGATCTCCCTAGCTGAACAATGCGTGTTTATTTTTCCTTCAAATGCTTTGGAGGATTGAGGTTATAATGAACATATATATCCGATTGTTTGAATTCATTAAGTTTAAAGATGATTCAATGAGACAATCTTAGCAGAATTAGTATTATTTACAGCTAGACTGCCTGATTCATCAGGTAGTTTAAAAGTATTGCAACTTCTTTTTTTGTGTTTCTGCATCATCATAGTTCACTATTAAGATCATGAAGATTAGGTCTGGCTTCTTTTGGTGTGCATAGGGCAATTGCTGAATCATTAGGTTTTCTTAGTTTATTGATTTTTTTTTGGAATAATATCTGTATGTAAGCATTCACTACAATCTTGTTGACTTTCAATACTATTTTTGTTTTCTAGTCAATATTATTTTTGAATATGTGCATATGCAGCTTTTTGTTGAGTCAGGAATGTCTATTGGTGCCCCTAGAATTATTTCTGCTCTAGTTTTTAAGATGCAATTGTGAAGGTTGATTGTTCTTTTTCTTTCAGTACCTTGTTGAAGCTAGGCTCTTTACTTTCGTCTTCTGTCCTATTGTCTGCTAATATGTCTTGCGGTCTTTATAGATGTCAATGACAAAATTTGTTTACATTTTCGCAGACAAACTGGAGAAGGCCTAAGGGCATCGACCCTGTGTTAGGAGAAAATTCAAGGGATGCACTTTGATGCCGAACATTGGTTATGGCTCAGACAAGAAGACTCGCCACTATCTTCCCAATGGGTTCAAGAATGTGGATTGTGGTGTTTGACCCTTCTCAGATTTTGTTGATGAGCATTTTCTAGCTTGTTGCTGATTGTTGCTGCATTCTCAGGACGTACTGTGCTGAGATAGCTCATGATGTTTCGACGAAGAAGAGGAGGAAATTGTTGAGCGAGCGGCTCAATTGGATGTTTGTTGTTACCAAAAAATTGGCTAGGTTGCGCAGCCAGGAGGACGATGAAGGTCGGTCCCATGAATGTTGATTTTGCTTTTTTTAATATAAATTTTTTCTTGCTTATTAAAGACGACGCACTTTCGGTCTGATGTTTTCAAGTATTATTTTGACTTGAGTAGTTCTTTGTCTAGTTTTCCACCATCAATTACTACAGGTTTAAGATTCATTTCCATCTTATTTCTCTGTACGAGGTGTGATAATGGGTCCTTTGGCCTTTTTTTTCTTATTTCAGGAATTGCAATCTATAGCGTTAAGTTGCATTTTTAGTATAAACTATTTGTTTGTCTGTTTTAATACCAAACTTTCAATTTTTTTCAAAATCATACCTAAGTTTAGTTTTTGTTTCATTTCAGTATCCGTTCAAAATTTAACGTTAACTTTAGAAAAAAAAATTGAAAGTGTATGTATTAAAACGGATCAAATTGATAGTTTAAGTACTAAACACGTTAAGTTTTTAATGGCGGGCTATTAAAATAAAATAAAAAACTAAATTTTAGGTATTATTTTTAAAAAAATAGAATTTTAGGTATTAAAACGGATCATAACTGATATTTCATGTATTAAATGCATAGTTTACAGTAAACAATTAGAGTCTCAAATGAGACCATGATTTTATTGTTCAAGCAATCCTTGTATGATATCAAAGGAGCATCGAAGGTGTGTGCTAAAATGCCGTTAGTCTACCACCTTTATCATACCAACGGCCATGCATTGCTTTCTCGAGGGATTCCATTTTATCATCGTTTCCCAACTATGTCGCCTCAAATTGTCAATTTTGTGCACCAGTGGTAGTTGATGGTTTAGACTTGAATAAAAATTAAAGAACGCATAATTTATATATGCATATCCTTTCATTTTCCCTTCCCGTGTCTCGATTCTGTAATCAATTGTTTCTATATTTCGCAATTCAAAACAAAGTTTTAAAAGAGCTAGGTTTGGTTAAGTAATACATGATTAAGATGTTATCAACTTTTTCATGTCATTTACAGTGCAGTCAAAAGGTAAAATATTAAAATGTTTAAATTATTAATATTAAAATTTTAAAATATATTAAATATTTAAATTTAAAACTGAATGATCAAATTTAACTTAAATATGATTTAAATTAACTGAATTTAAAAATGTTATAATCGAGAAATTTTAGAAACTAAATTTCTTACAGTATCAACATAGGTTCGTTCGTCCAAGATTACACTCAATATTGATATTGAAATCTTTATATTAATAAAAAAAATTGAATTGACGTGAATCAAGTGTTTATTGTAAAAGTTACTATACTTTGCAGCGTTATTAAATTTCATTTTGATAATGTTTTAACAATAAATACAAAGAGAATGAAGAGGCACTGTATAAAAACTCTTATAATATTATTCTGGCTTTTAATATTAATAATTTCACTTTCGTGAAAAATGTGTTTTTGAAAAGGCGCATCTCGTACGGACAAACACACTGCCGCTGACAGCGTCGTCGAAGCCAACGTAGCGGCATTGGACGACGTTGACTGGATGGACCGTTGCTCCGGTCAGCGAACTGGAGTTCGCCGGGGTCTGACTCGTCGTCCTATGGTACGGACCGAACCATTTCATTTGCATGTAACGATTTTTTCTCCAAGGAGGAAGGGATAACTTTCTGCTCTTCAACGATCTTTTCGCTGAATCGCTCATGGCTCTCACGATCTTTTTCAATTCCTCGCTTCTTCCCACGAAAACTCTAGGACAATACTGCAACAGCCTCGAGTACTCGCTTGTCGGCATCGCGATTTCGAACTCGGACGCAAAATCGAGATCAACGAAGTATCTGTTCAGCCACGTGGAGGATACGGATTGCACTACGTCGATGAACTCGTAGCCCCCGGCCGTTATGCCTTCCGAGGAATTCCATTTCGTCTTGCAGATCGCCGCGTTGTAGCCCGCCTCGCGTAGATAAACCATCACTTCACGCCTGAAAGCAGATTTATCCGTTTTGAAAAAAGAAAGCATTTCCATTGCTTTCGAAACGTCGGCCACGAGTAGATTCCCATAAGAATCCATGTTGAGAAGAGCAATGGACTTGACGACGATCTCCAACGGCGCCGTATCATCAAGGTCTGAAACTACTACATCGGCGTCGGCGGTGTGAGTATCATTACCAGCCTGTTGATCGGACTCGTCGTGGTTATCTTGAAGGAAACAATGAACGAGTTCAGAGAGGCAAGGAGAGTCATCTCCGACGACGGTGGAAGAGTCGGAGTGTTCGCTTCCGCTGCTGAAATAACGGGCGCCGACGAGTTGAGCCTTGACCCTGTCGTCGAGCGGGTCAGTGACTCGTTTTACTCTTCTTTGAAAACTAGCCATTGGAGTTTCGAATGTGACTGGTTTTGTACTTCTGTTTGTGTTTGTTGGGGTTTTAGGTTCAGAATACGACTGCGGAGCTTAAATTATGTACTACTACTCGTAAAGGTAGGGAATATTCCCATTAGATGCGGCCTTTGGGGTCTACAGATTGCCGCATATCCAACGCTGCATATGGTTTATTCGGTTTAGTGCAGATATTTGATTTGATTCCAACTGTTGGATGTACCATTTCGGTATAAGCTATTTTTATGATCTTCGTCCATATATTATTCTAACCATTGTGAAAATTCCAATTACACCAATGTGCAACAATACTCAATAAAAATAACTGTTATTTCATTATTTTATAATATTTTATTGTAAATAATTATATTTATGGTATTGATGGTGAAAATAATTATTTTATAAACGGTGTTGGTAGGGTTGTCATGTGTTCTTTAATTATATTAGAGAATAAATATTGAAAATCATGCATGATAATCATACAATCTCATTTGTGGAATATTTTTTTTTCAATGTCATTGTATGAAATACTAATATTTTTATTTTTATTTGAATGCCTATAGCTATGGGTATCATATTAATTTTATTGGAGTAAACTACATAAATGGTCACCAAACTTTTAGGGTGCTTAAATTTTGGTCACCCAACTTTTAAAACTTGCAATACAATCACCAAATTTTTAGTTCATTTTCAGTAAGGTCCCTAGTGTTACCTCTCATTAGTTTTATATGGCGTGACACATTACTTTTAATTTTCAACTTAATAAAAAAAATAAAAAATCCCAAACGATGCCGTATAACATTTGAGAAAAATTAAAAGGTTTTAAAATTCTTTCACTAATCAAATGACTTAGGTAAATTAAGTTTAATTTGGATTTTTTGGTTTAGGCTTTTTTCTAGATTATCGAACGTTCGTGGATGAAAATGAGGTATAGAAAGACTCGAAGCAACAAACATAAGCAAAACAAAAAAATAGAATCCCTAAATTCCAAATTACTCATTTCTCAACTCAACATAATCAGGTACAAAACATCCCCGAACTAACTACCCAAATCACTTGCTCAAACCTTCTTCCCAATCTCCATGGCTCTCATCATCCTTAGCAAATCAACGATTGATAAAAGTACGTGAATGTGGATTCAATGGGGAATCATACAGAAAAATATTACAATTTCTTTTAAATACACGTCCATGGTTAATGCACCCAAAGAACTTCCTTCCAGCATTATTATTCGTCTAAGTTGTGCGTAAGGTAGTTAACATTCCACAAAAACATTTTGGGATTGTAATTGGTGTCTTCGTTGCTAGCTTCATTTGCAAATCAAACAAAGATAATAAGAGAAAGAGCAATTTGATATTTAGGGTTTTCCAAACAATTTTGTATGAGGAAAATTTTTGTTTAAGCTGAAATGGGTTAAAAGAATTGTTTTATTAATTTGGAAAATAATAGTAATGTGCCACATCAGATAAAATTAACGGGAGCTAATGTCGAAGACCTTACTAAAAACAAACTAAAAGTTCGGTGACTGCATTGCAAGTTTTAAAAGTTGGGTGATCAAAATTAAATCACACTAAAATTTGATGACTATTTGTGTGTAGTTTACCGTTTTTTTAACGTTTACATGAATAATTACATTAGTCTCTATTTTTTTCAAGTATTTTGACTCTAGATATTTTATTTTTAGTTAAAATATTTTTTAGATAAAAATTATTATTTGATATATGATCAATATTTTGTTGTAGCATGACATGATCATACACTTAAATGTTAATACGATATATATCACATCAAACATTTAAGTAATTATAACAATATTATGCCAACATTTGCTTTTTTTATTTTAGTATTTTAGTGTTATCTCATCCAATTATTGTAAGTTTAAAAGTTGAAATCACCTGGTCGGTCTTTCTTTTCTTTCTTTTTTTCTAAAATAATGCTTTTTTATCTGTAAGAAATAATGTCATAAACTTTAGTGTTGATTCTCGTCATCGGTGTAATTTTATTTTTTCTCAAAGTTAGATTTTACCGTAATTGATTAAGTTGACACAAATTTATTATCCCTTTGATTTTCTCTGTTTTAGATATCGAATTATATTTTGATATACAGTCTACACTCGGAAAAAGTTTTCTCATGATAAATGACTTTGATTTGCGTTTACTAGTATTTTTCAATAGTTAAATCTTTTATTAAGGTTTGTTTGACACAACAGTCATATATATCCGTCTACCTATTGTTTTAGTTTTTTATGGATTTTTTAATCTTTCATTGTATGTTCCTTATATGATCTTAAGAGGTTAATTTATTGTGTTAGTGATTATAGAAAATATTTTAATTATATATATATTTTTATAAATCTAATTATAAACCCTCATTATAATTTTTAATATTTTTTCATTCTTAATAAAATTAGTTCCTTTATTTCTGTAAAAAAGGAAATGAAATCATAAATTTATAACAGCCCGCAAATGCACATTCCCAAATTAGATTTGTGTTGTTTACAGTTGAATGTAATTATCCATACACTGTATTTTTACTATTCGATGTATGAAAACAAAAGGCAAAACTGTAAAAGTGGGCCTACTGGTCTGTTTAAAAAACACTATTTTATCATAGCCTGGGCTGACCTTACTTTATTTGGATCATCAGCCTTCATCCACTTTATAAGGTATTTTGGCCAACTAGGCTTTGCAGGAAAAAAAATTAGGTCATTAAGTCATCTCTAAAATTATTTTGAAATCTATGACAAATGCCACGGTGTAGGGTAAATCCGTCACGTCCACATAACGAGTTTGCTCAAATAATTATTTTTATTTAAACTTATCATGTCGAAGTGATGAGTTCCAATAATACATATATTTTTTATTAGGTCTTGTAACGTCAGAGTGACGAGTTTCAATTAAAAATATATTTTATTAAAACTCGTCATGCTCACGTGACGAGTTACAAATCACTGTAGCAAATGGCATAGTTTTTGAAATAAAAAATCCAATGTCGTATTAGACTAAATAATTAGTCCGCCTACGATATTTCACCAATTTGGCCACTTTATAATCTTATGTCAGCCATGCATACAAACAATTAAAATGATGGTGTTATCCAATTGAATTTTAATTTAGTTTGCTTCACTTATCTCGTTAATTAATTCAAATGCTTTATACTCCCCTTACATTACTTATAATTTAATCTATGGATTTTTCTTGATTTTATGTTTCCTTTTGGATTGAAATATCAATTTCAATGAACAAACGTTTTTGTTGACTAAACAAAATTTTAAAGGATAAATTAGATAAAGAATATAATGGAGAAAAAATGATATATTTGTGTAATTCTCAATAATCATTTGACCGGATGTCTAAGGTACGACAACATTAATTTACGGTTAAAGAAATACGCTACCGGAAATATTAATATTTTTTTAACATTTTTGGTAAAATACTACATAAAACATTATTTTTTTTCTACCGAAAATATTAATATTTGGCGCTACCTAAAATGTTTAACGTTTTCGATAAAGTGCTACCTAAAACATTATTTTTTTATATACCGGTACTGTTAATATTGAGCGCTACCTATAATGTTATTTTTTTTCTACTAGAAATTAGGTAGTGAAATTAAAATTTCTGGTAAAAAAAATAATATTTTAAGTAGCGCTTTACCGAAAATGTTAAAAAAATATTAATAATTTACGTACTAAATTCCTAACCCTAGTCCTAAGCACAGTTAACCACGGTGTTTAAGAGTTAAAAATGGTCTAAGAAGAAGGTCAATGCAAAGAAGAGATATTATTGGCCAGTGAGTCTGTGACAGTAAAGTCATGGGTGAAGTTCTCAAATTTCTTCTCCTGCGAACTATTTTTTAGATATATTATTAAAACAGTCCTATGAATTTGGCGGTTTACTCGTCGCGTCGCCGCCGCTAGTTTTAACAATTTCTGGTTTCGGACAACGCACCGACCATTCCTTTTAAAATTTTAAATGAAAAATTAGGACAAAAAGACATCAAAGCTTTTATACTTTTGAGGAAAAATGTATATCTCGTATTATTTTTCTCTTTTAACATGATATTTTAATTCATAAAATAAATTTAATATAATTTTTTGACCAATATTTTTTATCGTTGATTGTTACAGTATGATAAGTTAGATCATGGTGCTAACATGACAATCCATTTATTATTTTTGAATTATTAATTGAGCCAATTTGTTATGTCATTCACCACATTAATCTACCCTCCTAGACTGTCATGCTAGTATTATGGAATGTTATGTTAGTATCGTGAGCTATCACATCAATATTGTAACAGTAAAAAAAAATCATTAGTCAAAGGATCACACTATATTTGTTTTCTGAGTTAAAAGGTCACATTAAAAGAAAAATAATACGATAATCACATTATTTTTTTTTCAAAAGTTGAGGACGTCTGATTTCTTTTGCCCAAAGTTAGCTACACATTATTAAAACTTTGTTAATGACATGATTGAACTAATAAATCATTTTTAAAATATAGCCCCCAACCAACAAAAGCACTCCACCACTAACGCATCATTAGCTTGGATCGGAATAAAATTAAGACGAAGAAATCACGCAACAGACACACGACCTCCATATTACTTACCATTTTCATTTCCTCATCTTTGCTCTTTCTTTACCTTGTGGGTAGGGGTGTTCAAAATTTGATTTTAATCGAATTAATCGATCGAATCGAATTAGTTCGATTAATTCGAGCGGCCATCGAATTAATTTGGTCAGAGAACGATTAAAGATTTTTTTAAAATTCGGTTAACAGTTAATTCGATTCAAAATCAGTTAATTAACCGAATTAACCTTTAAATATAATTATATTAAGGTCCAACCCATTTAAAACACAAATCAATATTAATTAATTAAAATAATCTCAATACTAAATGCAAAATATTTGAATCAAATTAATTAGTTATTATTTAAATTAATTGTAAATTATTATTTTTAATTAAAAATATTAAATTCTAAAATTCTAAAAAAAATCGGTTAATTCAA